GCAAATCCTTCCTTTAACCAAATATCATCCCACCATTCGAGACTCACCAAATTTCCAAACCACTAAAATGTAAAAACAGTATGTCAATCACGGCTTGAGTTTATTCATTGCATTTGCTGTACATTACACTTCCTGCGATTTTTGTCAAAAATGTTTTAATAAATGTTTTTGAAAATCATATTTTTCCTGTCCATAACCTTCCCTCTCTCCAATTGGTGAACAGTTTTTTATGCCTGAAAGGGGAATAATCACTGGCAATTTTAGAGAATATACTCACGCTATGTGCGACTTCGTGTGCCACTAGATCTGCCAGTTGTACCTTCCTATGGATTGAAGACCCATACTCGTCATATCTCACGTAGCTTTCCAACAAGTTCACAATACCCCAGTTTTCTAATCCCAGTGACATCAGCGTTGGTAACGCAATGAAATCTGCAATGTATATTAAAATGAACCACATTTATGGTGTCATACGGGGATACAAAAGCACGTAATTACCTATACGACATACCTATACTTGAAACAGTGGAGTTCATTGGCAGATGTTTTTTTTTTTATTTAAATTAGACTGTGTCAAATGTTTAGACCTCAAACGCAAAATGGCCGCCGGGATCTCGTTTAAAGCGAGAGAGCAGTGGGACCTGTTTTTTTAACAATATTAAAATCCATCCAGTATTTCTCTGGCCTATTTCCCCATGATCTTTGAAACGTTGGGCGCGGCGACAGGCAGTTGCGACTAATTTGTGGCATTCGAGTTTAAAGCGGGAGGGTCGTCACCTGCGCACGCGCGGGAATTGAGTCCCAAGAGATGATAACAACACACGCTAAGAACGCAAAGGCTAATGGGTAGACGCTAGTTTATAAACAATGACACGCTATGGTCACCTGACGCATGCGTATGTGACGATTCCCCCGCTTTAATTATTTTTAATAATTAATTCTGAACATAATTAAATGCATTAAGTTGTTCACTTACTACTTTATATTGAAATAAAATATGTGCATCGAGTTCATTTATTCAATATTTTTTATTACACACCTGTTTTTTCTAATGGTTCATTTATTCCAGCAAAATAGTTTTCAAAATATTCGTATGATTTTTCAGCATAATAAAGAACTGATTGCATCTGATCAATAACTTCTGACCGCGACCAGACACGAATCTAAAAAGAAAGAGAAACTGAACGTATGTCTTAACAAGTAAAACAAAATAATTCAATGCAATACAATGCAATGCAAAACACTCCACTTCACTACACTACA